TTTTTTTTCAGTCTTTCAAGTCCACTGCTTTAACCTTTAAATCAACATATAGAATTCAACTTCAGAGCATTGCAATGTTACGATAATGATCATTGTTTAAGCAGCTTTGTAACTGATTCAGATTTTTATAGTCTAGCTAAGTGGTGAACTCTTCATTACCCAAGGTAATGCACAAGGGAGCTGGGAGGACAAATGAGAAAATGCTTAGATAAACTAAAAGCATAGCTACACAAAACATCTGTAGGTTAGGATGATCAGCGAGGCTGTAATGGAGAAAGAAGAGGTCAGTGACACAGGTTTCATCTCCAGTGTGAAAGGCGTCTTCCCCAGGGAATGATCCACAGCCCTTGGGCCAAGGGGTGAAAAGCAGCTTGTGTGAACAGCACTGGAGGCTTGTCCCTTCTGCCTCTCACTGCTTCCCCCAGAAACCTATCCCTGGTCTGGGCTGGGTGCTGGTGGTACCCTTGTACTCTGGGACTTAATTTAGTTTATCTGTTCAAAATGTTTGAAATAGCATGAGGTCTGTGTTACAACCTGCTATTTCACTGGCATGATTTTGTGGGCTTGTGTTGCATCTGCTAGAATGTGGCTTAGGGCCTGCCATGGTGCTTGAGGACAGACAAGCTGCCAGATAGTTCTGGGAGGTGTTGAGGCATGGATGATGAGGACTTGAGAAGTCAGAGGAGTGAAAACCCTTGAAAGTTATTGCTATGTCTGTAGTGCTGACTCAAACCTGCTTGGGAAAGCCACTCACCAGATGTGGCTGTGGCTCTGCAGATTTATGTGTATGTCTGTACTAGGAACATACTTAATTCACAAAAAAGATAATTCACCTCAGATACCTGAGAATAAAGTATAGTTTTAAAAATAACAACAAAAAGTCATAATAAGAATGAAAATAACTCAGTAATAATGAAATAAAAACAGTCAAAGATGAGTCCTATAGGATTATGCAGAGCATTAGAGTTACTCCATAACTGTTGGCTGGCTGAGCACTAATGCCACCAAGCATCATTTCCTTTCTGCGTTTTTCAGCCATTTGGTTTCAACTGGGCAGATCATTTGTGTTGTTGATTGTAGGTCCAAAATAAAAGCATGTAACAAGCCACTGACCCTTGTGGAGCAGCCACTGGCAAATGCAGGAACTCCATGCATGAGGAATTTGCTGGCTGAAGTGATCTCCAAGTTTTCAGTCCAGTGTTGGAGCGAAGTGTGGGAGCTCCAGGAGTGGTAGGTGCCAGCTGACCTGGCCAGTCCTGCAGCAGTTTTGAGCAAACCTGTGGGGCTTTGGGGATTCTCTGATGGTCTCTCAAGGACCTGTCACTTGAAGCTTGGCTTGAAAAACCTCTTCTGTCTTGTCAACTGAGGCAGATTTCCTAAAGCTGACAGGTCTCAAAAGTTCTTTTGAAATTGTTGTGCATTGATATGTTTTCATTCCTAATGGACATAGAGGCATTGTACTACTTTTTTTTTTTTTTTTTAGTAAATGCTACTTTTTCCTCCTCTTCTAATTTTTTTTCAACACTTTCAGCTTACACTGATTTAATGGCCACTATTATAAGTGCTACAAATTTAACTTCTGAACCCTGCATAGACAGTGAGAAAATATTCATACTTTTATAAATGCTGAACATCTCTAGGTTTCTCTCTGGTGTTGGTTTTACCAATGCTGAAGATACTCCAAACACTGAGGCCAAGATAGTGTTTAAAAAGACAGGCTGGTATCTTTTTCTAAGGACCACTTTCAGTGGGACTTGGTTTTCTAAATGCCTTTATGAATATGGGTCTGAAAGGACTTGAAGGTAGGTTGGAAAGGCAAGGAATTTTTGACAATTTTAAAATGAAAGATGCTGCTGTGGCATATACTTGGATGTCAAACTCTTATTTCAATTGTATGTGGCAATTTTAGCTGCAGGAGAGGTTTCTTTTGAAAGCAGGAAAAGGTGGAGAAACTGATATCCAAAGTGCTTTTGTTTTTATTTCTACTACTAATGTGTCTCTTTACTGCATCTGCAGAGTCCATAAAGTATTTAATCTGCAACCTCTTCAGAGATTTCTTCTGTTAGTGGCTCTTCTCAGGCCAAGGTAATTTCCCTGAGCATTTGTACAGATCTGAGTGTTTTGACCTGACTGACACTAAAGAAGCTCCTTTTTCTAGAACGAGTCCATTTGCTCTCTGAGCTGACCTAACACAAAATAGGGTGAGGTGTATCTCCTGTGTCACTGAGGCTTATAAGCCCAGGAGCAGGCAGTGGGGAATGTGCTGAAGCTTCATCGGAGGTTTTGTTTTCCCCAGAAAATCCTTCATATCTGGCTGCTGAGCAGAGCTAACAAGCAACCTCGACAGTTTTCTGCTTCTCAATGTCTGTCTCATCTCTGAGCTGTGTAGGAGTTTGCAAAGGCAGATTAATATTTAACGTACCTGAAGTCTTTGATCTTTCAATTGGAGTCTGAATACATCTAAATTCTCATAAAATGCAGACAGAGGAGATAATGCTGCCTTTTATTCACTAATGCAGAGACTGGAGCACCCTCCTAATTTCAATTCCTTCTTCCATCTCAGGCCATTTAATTCTGCTCTCCAGCTTGTCTGTCAAGAATCCTTATCACCAGTCTGCTGGGTGCTCATGCTGAAACTGCCTAATTTCCAGGTTTTCAGCTGTATATCTGAACCACTTGGCTTGAAAGCCTCTTTATCTGACTTCTGGAATCCTGAAATGCCCCTGCTACAAAAAAAAAAAAAAGGTGGGATACCCTGCCTGGGATGTCCTGCAGGCTGGTGACCATGTGCTGTTCTGGGCTATGGGGTGGGACCTGCAGGCTGAGGCAGGTAGGACCCACATCCTCTGTTTGCTCAGCCCACAGACCCTGTTTCTCAGGGGTGGCTGCTGCTGAGGGTTAAACACTACATTCAGGTGCCTGGAAGAGCCTTCCAGCATGAGTCTCTGATTTGAATCAAAAGTCTTTGCTCCAGATCTGGATGAACAGTGAGAACCTGGGGGTGCATTGTGGAGTCCTCCTCTGCTGTGTGGGTGTAGCATCAGATGGTGTAGCAAGAGTGTTGTAAGGCAGAGCAACCAGACCTGGGGCTCCTGCCATACCCTCCACACATGAGAAGGGAGACAAAATCTGCTCCCATCAGACCCCCTTTCTGCAGTCTTCTAGGGGATAATGGAAGTACAAACTAGACAGTAATTCAGAGGAATAATTTATTCCTGCAACTTCAAAGTCATCTACTTGATCTTGCTGCTAACATGTCTGTTCTGCCGTTTAACACCTTCAGATCATCCCAAAACTAACAGTTCCAGCCTCCTAGACCCCAAATATATTAAGTCATACAGACCCACATAGTGATCCCATACCTGAGTCTAATCCTACTTGACTTATTTTTTAAGAGATTCAGGGAGTGGAGAGTAATATAGCTCTGGATATAAAATGCACATGTCTGTATTGTGGTTATAAAAGATGATATACAGGTACTTTCTCTTGAAACCCTGATATGACTTTCAGCTTCTTTGTGTAGTACAGAGTTTTGGTGAAAGAAGAACTGGAAAAATATACCAGAAGTACATAAATAACACTTTTGTGAAAGTATTTCTACAGGCCCCCTAACTACTGTCTTTTGATGGTCCTTTTGCACAAACTCCATTTCTGTGCTGTTGTTTTCTGACACATCTCTTCACAGCCTAATTTCAGACAAGCCATTCACTTGTAGGCTTAGACAAGAGTGTGTTTCAAAGGTGATTCTCTTCAGGAGTTATTGAAGACAATGATGTAACTTCATTGCATGATACAGTGAAGTATTACCTGCCTTCCACCCTCAATGACTTACATGAGGGCTATTGTATCAGACAATTTGCTGGGCATAATTCCAGTGGTCAGGTAGATGGGAAGTGAAGTTTCAGGCGTTGAAGTTGGTCTTGTCTTCTATTGAATTGCCTCTTTAGAGCAATATCCACTCTTTCTAAGTGGGAACTTAGTACTAACATCTTTTAGTGCAAGGCCAGGTGGCCAAGAAGGCCGATGGCATCCTGGCTTGTATCAGCAATAATGTGACCAGCAGGATCAGGGCAGTGATTGTCTCCCGGTACTTGTCATTGGTGAGGCCACATCTCAAATCCTGGGTTCAGTTTTGGGACCCTCACTACAAGAAAGACGTTGAGATGCTGGAGGGTGTCCAGAAAAGGACAATGGAGCTGGTGAAGGGTCTCGAGCACAAAGTTCTATGAGGAGCAGCTGAGGGAGCTGGGATTGTTTAGGCAGGAGAAAAGGAGGCTCAGGTGAGACCTCATGACTCTCTACAACTACCTGAAAGGAGATTGTAGTAGAATGGGGGATGGTCTTTTCTCCCATGTAACAAGAAACAGGATGAGAGGAAATGGCCTCAAGTTGTGCCAGGAGAGGCTTAAATTGGATATTAGGAAAAATTTCTCTTTGGAAAGGGTTGTCAACCATTGGAACAGGCTGCCCAGGAAGTGGTTGAGTCACCACCCCTGGACATATTTAAAAGATATGTAGATTTGGCACTTAGGGATGTGGTTTAGCTGTGGACTTGGCATTACTAGGTAATGGTTGGACTTAATGATGTTAGAAGTCTTTTCTGATCTAAACAATTCTATGATTCTAAGCCCATTATTATATATACTGTATTTTCTCCATTTGCCTTTCCAGACCCCTGTCTCCAGTGAGAAACCATAAACATACAATTGTCTATTATTAGCATTGCTTAATCTCCTGGTTAATTAAATTTTTTCTAAGCTTTATCTCACCCAATCTAATGGCAAACCAAACTGCTAAATGTGCTGCTGCAAGTTTTATGTGTGTCTGAGGAACACACAACCTGCTTGGCTGAGCTTGGGGGAGCTGCACGTGTTCTTCTCATGATGTGTGGATTATGGCATACAAAAATATATTGTGTTAGTAGTAGAATGCTGCATGTGTTCAGAAACTGTTGAGAGTCTTTCGAATTCTTATAACTGTTTACTCATTCTTTTGTTTAGGAGTCAGTGACCTGTAAGTGCTCATTATGAAGAGAGATCTGGTTTTCTTGGTGACTCTAATTAGCCTTGCCTTCCTGTCACTACTAAGGTCTGGATATCCTCAACACATTGCAGAGGAGTCCTGCTCTGTTCAGATTCTTGTTCCAGGCCTCAAAGGTAATGTGAAAGCCTACTCCATTATTCAAATATTAATCTTTTTCTTCTAACAGGCTCATTTGCACCACTGACAGTTTCTAACAGAGACAAAGAAGGTGCCTTTCAGTTACCCTCTTATTTGCAGTTACCCTCTTATTTGTTCCATTTGTAGACTCCTTAAAAATGGAGTTTTAAGGTCCATAAAGAAGTGAAATTAAATCTGTTAAAATAAACATGGTTCACAGAATGCATACCAATCTCCCAAATTTACTCCTGATCGGTAGTGCTTGTTACTCTGATACACTGCCTGGTTGCACTCTCTGTGTTTACACTCAACAGTGCTGCACATACCCAAAGACTGCAAAATCAGGCCCTACTTTATTATGCCTGGAGAGGTTTTAATTTCCATGTTGCAATGTAACGTGAAGTATTTTGTGTTTTCTAGTATTTTGTTTGTATTCTCTAGATTTTTAAAAGCTCTAATACCTTTTAGAAGGAAGAAAACATTAGTTAGTTTTTTGGCATTTCTATAATTTTTGTGGAAAAAGGCAACATTTTATAAAATATGCCCCTAAACTATTGCCCAAAGAAGATGGTATAATAAGTTATTGATCTTTTCATAGCAAAAACTATGCCTTACATAAGAAATCAACCACTGGGAAGAATTAGCATTTTAAAGCAACAGCATCCATTACAGTGTGAAATCCCAGCCCTGTTTAGTCAATAACAGTAATTTCCTTTGTGAAGGCTATAGTATTTCTACTGGAATATACTACTGGAATATACCTATGAATGTGGGGAAGTACTCGATAACTAAAGACAAAAAAAAAATCATAAATCCTTGTCGTGGTCGAGGCAGGGAGGCAACATGGGTTTCAGGATACCAGCAGCTTTTTTTTATTGCAACAGTGCAGCTACCTTTATACAGTTCTGGGGTGACACATGTACACACAGCATTGGTTTACCACTTCATAACAACTCATGATTGGACACACAGCCACATGTCCTAACACAATAGGCTGGCATTCTAACAGGAAACCCACTGTGTGACAGTCCCCACTGTCTGTGGTTAACCCTCTGCCAGGTGTAAGAAGTTCCATCTTCAGGATTTTAGCTTACAGACAGCCCAGAACCAGCTGGACTCCCCCACAAATCCTACCAGCTTATCATTAACAATATATCAAAAAAGCATTGTTTAAGAACCACACAATGAACCTTCCATTTTCTTCTTGTAATTTTGCCTTGTACTATCACAAAACTCACCTACCCAGGAGTGGTGCAAACTTTTCTAATGCAAACCTAGGCTTTACTCAGTTGCCTAAAGAACACAGACTGCAGACACTGTTTGTTCTGGTTACCTGATTGGTAAGAGAAGGCTCAGTTCTGTTCTGCAGTTGTTCATACAGTTAAATTATGAGTACAGCCTGACCATAGGTTTGGCTGTAGTGTAAACTGCCCTCTCCAGACACTGACCACCTTGTGTGTTGCTGCCCTGTACTTGAAGCAGGAGAATTGGGCTTTAGAGTGTGGGTTGTGCTTGGCCAATTGGCTTTAGGAATAAAAAAGCCCTTTGTTTATTCATTATTATTTATTGTTGTTTTATTTATTATTATAGATGCAGCTTTGGATGCCTGAACTCAACCAAAAGCTATTTTTTTCTGTTTACTTCAATAAGTGACTTTTGAAGTCTTAATAGTATTTAGACCTTCTGCAGATGTCCTAGTTTTAAAGGACAACACTGTATCCTCAATTCTGAGGTTTGATTAAGACTGGAATGATTTGTTTAACATATTTACTGTGAAAAAGACGTAAGATAGTGCTGTTAATGTGACTACAGAGGAGAACACAATCTTGCTAAATATATGTTGTCCAAAATTACATGAAAGATCAGTTGAAGGGTCAGACTCCACAGCACTGGGGACTGAAGCTTTGAAATTACTTTATTTCAAAGACGTTGACAGGCTTGTACAAGTTTTGTGACTTCTTTGCCTTAGTTTCCTTATTTGTGTGATCAGTCAAAATTAACATCTATGATTACCATTTTAATGCAAGGGTCATAATTATTATTATTATACACAGCAGAGGTTTTTAAAGTGTATAAACAGTACAAGACCCTGACCCTTTGGTAAAAGGCAGTTCTAAACCTGGAAACCAGAAACAGCCCTGAAAACCATCATATGTTAATGATTTCACTCCATTCCATGAGATGTAAGCCTTGCAAATTTGAAAGAGATTGATGTACAAATTCAGTGAAGCACAAAATGGCCTGATACAGCCCTAGTTAATGTGAAATCCCCAAAAAGCTCTCAATGCTTCAGCTGTGCTGTCAAAGAGCCTGGCTCAGAGAAGTGACAATGCTGTCCCCCACTGGCACAACTCCAACCCATTTCGGTGGCCAAGGCTTCCTTTAAATTGAGAATATGTTGGCTATGTGCCCAAATTTCAGCTCCCATGCAGTGGGATTTGCTCACTGCAGCTTTTAGATCTCCACCACCTCCTGCTCAGCTGGAGTGCCAGCAACATCTCCAATGGTGGAGGAACAGAGCACCCTTCTGCTGCTGGGCACGACACTCAGGATTTGGGAAAAATAGGTTCAGGAAAGAAATGGAAGAAATTAGGAAGACTGTAGGGTATGAGAATGGCAGAAGAAAGAAGCCTAAGAGGTGGTGCAGAAAGTGGAGCCCAAATGGGGTGGTGAAGGAGAAAGTCATCAGGGAAAAGTACCCAAAAGCATGGAGGATTTTAGATGAACAGGAAGAGGTACAGGAAAAAAAACTGAAAAAACCCAAAAAAACCAGAAAAGCATGAAGAATGAGACCAAATGAAAAGACTGGAAACTTGGAAAAAAAAAAAAAAAAGAGACACAAAACCAATTAAGAGCCCACAGTATAAAAGAGAGAATCAGAAGGGGCATGAGAATGGAGGTGGAAATGGATGATGAAGAAAACCAGTAAAGACATCAGGACTAGAAAAAGCACAAATGAGTTTAAGGTCAGCGGTTCAGGTTTTAGGGACTGGGTTTGTTTTTTATTCCTGCGTTGGTTTTTTTTTTTTTTTTTTATAAACTCAAGAGTATAAAGGAGTAAGATGAAATGAGGAAGGAAAAAACCATAGCTCTGAGAATGCAGACAGCAGACTGAACCATGTTTTAGAAAACTGACAATATTAATAATGGGAAAAGTGTGTTGTGTGTGAAAATGCGATGGATGATGAAGCCTTGCTACAAAGCTCACTCATATTCCTCCTAAAGTCCAGTTCCTTTTGATAGACCCATGAAATTGAAGTTACTACTATTGTGGAGAAAAAAAAATAACGTGGAACAATCCTTGAATGCTTAAATTCTCAGTTTGCTACCTTATTTTTGTCTCCCTTTTAGAATCTAAAGCAGTAATTGTTTTAATAGTCTGAATGACATTCAGTACATTAAAAAGTTGATGCTAGACAAATAAAACCAATTGTTTTTAACACCCACACGTGATGCATCTACTCACACAGGGAATATGAGTAATGGAAGAAAGTTATCACCAGCCAAGAATGCTTAATAGCTCACGTAGTTAATATTTGGTGTGCTATTTTCATAGATGGTACAGCTTAAGAGAGGCAGGATATGAACATAAGCACAGACAAATCCAGTCCCAAAGAATCCACAAAGAAAGGCAAATCAACAGCAATGGTAAGATAAATCACCTACATTAAGAAAGGTCTTTCCCAGAGATGATGGAAGAAGAAGACTGTATTAGTGTCAGGGTTGTCCCTGCTACCCCTGATCCTGCTGCAGCTCAATTTGGTGGCAGGGCTAAATTTCTTTCCTAGCACTGTGGAGCACTGCTAAGCACAGCTCACCCTGTCTCAGCTGCACTGTGCTGATGAAGTGCAGCACATATTTCATGCAGTGGGGCTGAAACAAAGAGACATCCAGGAAGGGATGGAGAGGAGAATTAACAGAAGGTATGACTGCAAAGGGACTGTGGCTGGTGGAAAAGGCCACAGCGGAGCAATTGGGTAGGGACCGTGATGCACAGATCCCAACTTCCTGCTCTGAAGGGACTTGGTTGTAGACCAGAAGAGGCTGGAGACCAGAAAGGGGGCATAGAGGTGTCTTTCTCTAATTCATGAATCAAAAGTTAAAGTTTGATTAATAGGTGAGATATTAAATTGATTGAAATTCCTTGACAGAAAATTGATTTTTTGCCCATGACACCTACAAAGGCTATGCTTCCTCAGCTTGCACAGTGCCCAGGTTGCATATAGCAAAAATAGGGACTTAAATGTGGCAAAGCTGAGCTGGACCACTGATCAGTTCCTCTTGGCCAAGGTCTTGCTCCTTAAAACAGGTTATAACAAAGAAGTACAGAGTGGTCTGTAGCTGGGCCTGTAATGGGGTAATCTCCTCCCAGAGAAAGTTTCTAAAACATCCACACTAAGGAACGTGGTGCCATCTTATTAAAGGAATAAATGCAGGCAAGTGTAATGGCCTGAAGCAAGAGTGATCTATTTTATTGATCCCTAATGCACAGCTTTCACTCTGAAGAACGTGTAAAGCAATAGGCTGTAATAGCCTGCTCTCAGCCTCCAGAGAGCAGGGGAAAGTCATTGTCAGGATTTATCTTTGGGAAGCAAAGAACTCATAACCAGCCCTGAGGGGTGAAAGGCAATCATACAAAGCCTATTGGTTACCTGATAATAAAAATGTGACATTCCCAAATGTGCCAAATTATAGCCTGTTTCATGCTAACAATATTATTCACTGGGGATTATGTGAAGTTTGTCCTCATTAAGGTCAGAGAATGGCCTATTTTTGCATGTCTGAAAACAGGGAAGATGGTCTGGAGCCTGCTGGCAGCCTGAAGAATGAAAATATAACAGATGGAGGACCAAGTTCAGTTCACAGCCATCTAGGTCTACAATAAGGAGAGAGACAGAAAGAGAGAGCTGGAGGCTGCATATTTGAAACGTGCCATGTTGTGGTATGTTTTTACATGCCATCTTTCTGGCCCCTCTGTGAGCCACTGCTGTCAGCTATGCCAGAGAGAAGAGCTTGTGGGGTGCATGATAACCTTTGACTTTCCTACTGTGGTGCTCCCCTCAGCTTCCTGGAGAGCAGGATGCTCTCTCCTCTATAGAAATACGGTGCTGAGGCATCATGTGTGCTGTGCTGGCTCCAGGTTTTAGATATCAACATCTTATTTTCTGTGGGAGCCATTGAACTTTCTTCTCCTTCATATAAATCTTTTTTTGTCAAGGTGGCTGCGTAAATCATTCTTTAAACTTCTGTTTGTGAAAGAGATTTTAATTTTAAGTCAATGGCAAAGTACAATAGTAGGGGGCGAAAGAAGCTAAGCATCCCTAAATTTTCAATGAAAGGAACCAGGGAGGAAAACATTTACAGAAACTGATGTTTAAATATGTTGAATATAATGATGTGCCATGAGCCACGTGCATGTCAGTACACTGCATAGTGGTTCATACCTCAGAGATTAAAAGGCACAGTATATACTGAGAATACGGAGTAGGGAGTTACCCTTTCATGCTTAAAAATGTTCCTCTAAATGATGGATGTAGCAATGCCTTCTTATACGTCTGATGAATGGCATTTAAAAAAAAAATTGAGATTATAGCTAAGCAATTAACACTTGAGACTTAAGCATGTCCTTAGCAAAGGCTCAAAAAGCATTTAGTGAACACAGACCCAGAAGTTTATGTGCTAAGGTTGGGCCTAATTCTGAAGATTCTACTTAAGTGAATTGTCCTGTTGGGTTTTTTGTAGGTTGATAATACAAGTAACGTCCACAAAATTAGACCCGTTGTATGAGACCTCAGTAATGTATTGACTTAGGGTTTGTCTGTATTTACTCCAACCGAAGAAAATTCTGTTCTCTGTGCATCAAGTAAGGCTGTTAAATCAGATTGCATCTGCTTTTATTTTTTCACTGGAGAGAATGGCACTCTTGTCACTGCTGCTAACAGAAAATTGTCTTGGTTCAATATGATTCTTCTTTTTGTTTCCTTTTGTATCTACAGGGGAGGCTGGAGAAAAGGGGGAGAAAGGTGCTCCGGGTCGTCCAGGCAGAGTTGGACCTCCAGGAGAAAAAGGTAATTTTGTTAAAGATGTTTTGGAAGTCATTCCTGACAAAACGCTGTCTTTTCTTGTGAGGTGATGATGATGGGAATCCTCCCTCCCTTTGCTGGGTGACTAAATCATCCTTGGCCATTTTTGTTTACTATTGTTGTGGTTTCATCCAAGCTGGCAGGTCAGCCCCACATAGCCACTCACTCTCTTTCCCCCAGTTTGGATGGAGGAGAGAATTGGAAGGGTAAAAGTGAGAAAACTCGTGGGTTGAGCCATGCACAAGCAAAGCATAACAAGGAATTCATTCACCAGTTCCTATGGGCAGGCAGGTGTTCAGGGCTTCAGGAAATCAGGGCTTCATCACACAAACCAGTGACTTGGGAAGACAAACGCCATCACTCTGAACAACACCCCCCTTCCTTCTTCTTCCCTCATCTTTATATAGTAATGCCATGTGGTAGGGCATTTCCCTGGGGTCAGCTGTCCTGGCTGTGTCCCTTCCCAGCTTCTTCTGCACCCCCAGCCTGCTTGCTGGTGTGGTGGGATGAGGACCAGAAAAGGCCTTAACTCTATGCAAGATCTGCTCAGCAATAAAGAATACATTTCTGTGTTATCAACATTGTTTTGTTCACAAATCCAAAATATAGCACAATATCAGCTATAGTGGAGAAAATTAACTTTATCCTGGCAAAACCAGTACAACTGTTGCACTCGTTTGTAGACTAAGTATTACTTTCTAGTAAAAAAGATTAATTTGGAAATTAAAAAAAAATTCTTTTATTTTTTAGAAAGGTCTCTGTGAAGAAAGACATCATAATGTCTTCTTCATAATTTACCTTCTGCAAATGGAAATCTCACATGAGATCAGAGGGAAAAAATCACAAGGTTCAATTTTTGTGGTTGTTTTTTTTTGTTGTGTTTTTTTTTTGTTTTGGTTTGGTTTTTTTTAATGAATGTGAGCACTCATAAGATATTAATGAAAACCTTTGAGGGAAGGCAGTAAGCCGTAATAGGCAGAGGTGGCCATGAGTGTTTCCACATATTTTGGATCATAGTTCTGTAATATCTATGGAAAAAAGGTGATAAGGCTGTTTGCATTATAGTTCAAAAATATTTGGAGCTCTTAAGAGGAATGATGCTCAGTAGTGTTCAGTTATACAGTGAGAGGAACGTGGCACTGCTGTCTTGCAGGAAATGCTGTCTTTTCACATTTGTTTTCCTCCCAAAGCAAGGAGGAAATTTGACCTTCATAAGTTTTCCAGGAGGTGCATGTTCTGAAAGGTTCACATTAGGAATAACCAAAACCTTTTATTTTGATATCGAAATTAAAGATTTGATATTACTGTCATGAGAACAGTGGTGTGAGTTTTTATTAATCTGAGTTTACAGTCTTCCTTTCAAGGCAATCATAGTGATAATTTATATTTCCTTATGATGATGCATGATCTCTATGTTGTTCTTTTAGACAGTTGTGGGAATCTGATACCTGCAGTTTTCCCTGGGACCAAAATCCATACCTAGAGCTCTTCTCCCTACAATGCATTGAAAAATTTATAACTCCCATGAGATGTGTGTGTGTTCAGTCCATGTACTTACCTTATGCATGTGTATTTTCAAGGACAACTGTTAGAAAAAATACTGGAAACTAAAGTTTCAACTCTTGCAAGGTTGAATGCAGCATGAAGTAAAAGTATGACAGAATAATTTAGGTTAAAAGGTTGTAAAGAGCTCATCTAGTTCAATCTCCTGCTTTAAACAGGGCAGACTTCAATATTAGAGCAGGTTGCTCAGGGTTTTTTTCCAGTACACTTCTGAAAATCTCCATGGATGGAGACTCCACATCCTTTTTGATCAGTCTGTTCACCAGTTTCATCATGAAAGACTTTTCCTTGAAGCCTACTGAAACTCTTCATGTTGTGGCTTGTAATTGTTGCATCTTGTCCTTTCTGTGTGAGTCTCTGAGAAGAAAAGGCTGCATCTTCTCCAGAAACTGCTTGTAAGTAGTGGAAGACTGCAATTGGGTCCCCCCTTATCTTTCTGTACTGCAAGCTAAGCAAAACCATCTTTCTCAGCTGGACTCCAGTTTGTTTCTCATGTATGAGGGCCCGGAAATCTCTGGGTACTTTTATTCAACGGATTTTTTTAGCCAGCTGTTGGCCAGACTTCATCAATGCATAACAGGTGAGGAATTTAGCTGAACCCATGATATTCCTGTCAACATATTTCTGCAGCATGTTGAGCTCCTCCTGACTGGCAGTGGTGTCCTCCAGCACATCAACCACTCCTGCCAGCATGGAGCTCCTCCCACTTCTTCCTCCCTGTCACTGGTGAAGGACTGGTTCCTGAGGAATGGCATTCATTATCACCTGCTGATTAGACTTTGGTAGCCTTGCAGCAGTGCCAGATAGCATTCTCATCACCTTTGAATGCTTCTGGGCAGTGCCATGGACCTGTGTACATGCAGGTGAAGTAGTCCCTCCCTCAGTCATCCAATGCCAGGAGTGGCATGTCCTCCCCAGATCTTCGCTACCAGACCTGCAGAACTGGGAGGCCAGACCTTGCCAACAGAGACAAAGAATTCACTGAGTGCCTCTGCCTTCTCAGCCTCCTTTGGCACAAGGTTATCTTAACAACCTCTTGAGAACCTCTCTCATTGTGCTGTCTTGCATGTTTCTCTAGCTTGGTATTTTGTCAAATCCCTTCAAAATGCTTTAGACCATCTGAGAAATGGAAGTTCTCTTTTTCAGTTAGTGTGATCCATGATTTAGCATTTAATTTATTTATTTTATACTGCAAAATTGTATTTATTTGGAAAATTGTTCTTATAAGGAATGCTTGATTAATAGTAATGATAATTTTCCAGTTTTCCATACCTCCAAAAGTAAAAAATTTTGATGAGATTAAAAGAAGGAACACTGAAGTGGAAATATACTGCAAGAAAACACACTTGAAACAGAAAAGAGATGTGAGAAGATTGAATATTAATGCATACTGTATGGGTATTTTTCCAAGCAGCACTTTCAGTTAAACACAGGCAAAATTTCTTACTACACCTGTAGCAACATATTTTTTCTACTTTCTTTTATGCTTCCAGAAATGTCTACAAACAAGCTCTTGCTTTAAATAAATTCTAATTAACTAGTTTTTCATTAATGCTGTACATTATCAGAATCACATTAATTTGTTGTCTATCACCTTTTTTTGTTTCATTTTTCTAGCAAGTTCATATAAGAAAATGTGCTTAGTTTCTTTGAACTCCATAGGTATATAATAACATAAAATAACTTTCAAAAGAAATGGTTTTCTTATGGTATATATTAGACCTGAAGTGAACAGCTCAAGATTAGAAAATGCTGCAGATGTTTTTATCATACCCTTTCCTCATGATATTTTCAGATTTTGGTAACTCAGAAACTGAGAAACATTAAAAGTTTCTGGTGCTTACCTGAAATAAATCCTGTTCTGACTGTCCTGATGCTTCAGGGTGACATCAGACCTACTGATGTCTTTGGGTACTGATTAAGGTTAAATTCCACTTACTTTCCTCGTTGCTTTTAATTAATTGTATAGGTCAATTATGATGCATAGCATGTCAGCAGAATATAAAACTGTGTTGGCCTTATGTAAAGCACAAAGCACTGGATCGAGTACAATGGCTGTTTCAGACAAGCAGTGTGTACTGCAGTGCAAGTTTTGGAGTGTGAAGTTCATAGAAGTAACTGTCCCCACGTGCACAGATGGCTGTACTGTGCACTCCCATGTTGGGAGTGAACTTAGTTATTTCACTGAGTCATGATGCAGTCTGTGAGACCATAACTTCCATGTATACAAATTCCACACAGATAGTTCAGGAACAGTACAGTCCTGTGAATATTCCCAGAGTACTTTATGACAATCAAAATTGGGGGGGAGGGTGAATTTACTGTTGGAATGTATCATCAAAGGAGCAGCACATTAAAAATGTGTTCTTTGAGACATTTTAATTTTCTTAGAACTGTAGCCATTTGAAAATACATTATTTTAGTACTTTAAGTTCAGCCTTTATAGGTTGGACTTCATTTATACTCAATTATAGTGGTATGTTAAGCAGAGTCACATCCTGTTCTTGGGCTTGGAACTCAACGGTCTCTACCTTTGCAGTGTTAACACAGCAACACTGATTTTTGCTTTTACCAGCTAACATTTTCCCAGGTAATTCTTGGGCGTATTTCGTGAGTTGTCACAATGAGCAGCTTGCAAGTGATTATCCTGGCTTGAAGAGTAAGACAATTTAGTATCATGGAGTGTACCATTCTCAGCCACTGGGTTCCCACTGCCAGGGAACAGTCCCAGGCATTTAGGCAGAGCCTCTTAAGTAGGAGAGAAGACCCATTAATTTAACTGGATTGGAGCCAGAGTGCTCAGTCATTTGTATAATCAAATTCTAAAAAGAGGCAATAATATCTTAATTTATATTTTATTATTACTGATTGCTCATTAATATCTAATCAATCAATCCTTTGCATTTCTGAGTCAACTTTTACATGAATTTATTGCTCGCTAAGGAGTGCTGCAGGCAGTATTCCATATAAAAGTCCTGACATTGACAGTTGGGAATTCACAAAGTGGGTATCTGGTTCAAAACTGTCTTTCAGTTTCACCTGAACTCAATAGGATTTTGAGAAAATCTGTGGTAAACTGAGTGGACAAAAAAATGGCAGATGGGCTTCAGTGTAAATAAATATATTGCCTAGGGACATTAGGGATGCATAATTTAATCCATACTTACATGATGCCAAAACCCCCAGCTGTCACTTAAAACTCAAGAACTGCTCTGAAGTCATTAGCAGCAGTCCCAAAGCCAACAGAACACTGCCCATTATCAGAAAAGACACCAAGGAAAAAACAGGGAATTCTTTTTGCGGCTGATTTTGCTCTGTGTAAAATCCTGACACGCACTGTCTCAGGTAATGAGTGTGGCTCTGGCCTCTGTCTCTCAAGAAGGACATGAGAGGTAAGAGAGGGGCACCAGAAATGTGAAAAAGAACAGCTACCTCATAAAGAGAAACTGGACAGGTTGAGAGTCTAGCATGTGTACAGAGTAGTCTGAGAGGGTTGTGACTGAGGTTACAGAATCCCCAGATCCCATCATACCTGAAGCTGCTGGGGACTGATCCAGCACTCCACCTGTAACAGACTTCAAGTAGTGGATGGGATTGTGTGATCTCCCTGTATTGCACCTTCTGCTGCCACCACAGGAAACAGAGTCTTGGGCTAGAGGAATCACTGGTCTGAGCAAGCTTGGTATTACGTTGTTAATGTAATTTTAGTAAGATAGGTGTTTCATGAGGGCAGTTATTTGTCTTTATGTGCATCTGACTACAAACTCCTCCACTCAGGAATGTACCATACTATTACCATTTCTTCTGTTTGGAGTATACTTTAAAATCCTTTAAATTTCTTTACTGCCTTCCTAGATTGTAATTTTTCTCACTATCTTTAGTTTTCTTTACAAATTTCCTAGCTATTCTGATTTCTAGTCAGTATGGATTGATAACAGTCTACTCTTTTTTCCCTCCTGTTTTTTTATGCAAAGCTTTTAAAGTTACACTTTGTCATTAAAATTCCAGTCTGCAATGAGTGTGATGGATCACTGCTGAGAGGTGTTTATTTCTCCGTTGCCTACAATGGGAGCTTAAGTAAATGGTTTAGACTAAAAAACCTAACGTTCACGTGGCTAGTGCTGGGTGAATGTAGTTGGCTTACCTCAGCTACATAAAATGCCACCTGGGATTATGCACTGTTTGTTCACATAAGAATATCTGTTTAACATCTTTGTCATCAACATGGACAGTGGGATCGAGTGCACCCTCAACAAGTTTGCCAGTGACACCAAACTGAGTTATGCAGTCGACACACTGGAGGGAAGGGATGCCATCCCGAGGGACCTTGACAAGCTTGAGAGGTGGTCTTGTGTAAACTTCATGAAGTTCATGAAGGCTGAGTGTGAGGTCCTGCACCTGAGTCAGGGCAATACCAAGCACAAATAGAGGATGGGTGGAGAATGGATTGAGAGCAGCCCTGAGGAGAACTTGGGGGTGTTGCTTTATGAAAAGCTTAACATGACCCAGCAATGTGAGCTTGCAGCCCAGGAAGCCAGTTGTATCCTGGGCTGCATCAAAAGAAGTGTGGCCAGCAAAGTCTGATGGAAGTGATTCTCCCCCTCTAGTCTGCTCTCATGAGACTCCACCTGGGGTGCTGTGTCCAGCTCTGGGTTCCCAGCTTAAAAAGGACATGGACTTGCTGGAAGAAGTCCAGAGGAGGGCCATGAACATGATCAGAGGGACGTGGCAGTGTGGCACTACCATGAAGACAGTCTGAGAGCTGGGCTTTTTCATCCTGGAGAAGAGAAGGCTTTGTGGAGACCTTACAGCACATCCAGTACAGAGGGGGTCTACAAGAGAGCGGGAGAGGGACTTTTTACAAGGACATGTAATGATAGGACAAAGAGGAATGACTTTAAACTGAAAGAGGGCATGTTTAGATTAGAAATTCTTTACCATGAAGGTGGTGAGACACTGGGATAGATTACACTGGGATAGAAGTTGTGGTTACCCTATTCTGGGTAGTGTTCAAGGCAAGCCTGGATGGGGGTCTGAGCAACCCAGTCGAGTGGCAGAGGTGTTGGAACAAGGTGATCTTTAAGGTCCCTTCTAACCCAAACCAATCTGTGATTCTAGGATAAGATAAAACTATGTTGTAGCCACTGTTCCCTCACTAATCACTGACCTTCATTGGTGTGGATAATTCAGATTATTTAGCACAAAATGGTGCTGTAGTTTGTTGATGTATGAGAATTTTCTAACTTCCAGTTGCCAGTAGTTTTTAAAAATTAAGTGTCCTGAAAGTAGATTACTACTATAACACCATTAAATACTTTAAAAATACCATTCTCATTCAAGTTTGGTTAACTATTTGCATTAGGAATATTGACTGCTGCAAGATTATCAAGGTACACTCTGGGAAAGACTTTTTAATCTTCGTCTGTATCTTATGTTCTTTTTCTAAGTATCCTCTGCAGATTGCTGTCAAAGATGGCACTAGAGTCAAGAGGCCTTTGGTGTGGTTTGGTACACTTCTACTTTCCTTGTTAGGTAGGTGTCTGTGATGTCCCCTAACCATGAAGAATTTCTGATTTGTCTTCAAATCCTTAAATTTGGGAAGTAAACTACTGCTCTCTTCTCTTTGACATGATTAAATTAAATTTGTCTGTGGCACGATGAATTTGTGTTTCTGCTGGATTTGCCTTTTTGACACTTTTTTATTTTTCTAAGTAGTTTTATACCTTCTTGTCTGTTCCAATTAATCCTGTCTGAACTGATTGCCATACTGTATGAAGACCCCCATTTATAGTGTTGCACAGAGCCAAACCCCTAATTTTTTCACTGGTTGTGCAGCCCCCCATTTGTCTCTGGTATTTTATTTCTTCCTTTTTTTTTTTTTTTAGCCTGAAAAAGCCACCAAGAAGATCATTTAGAGTTTCCTTATCCTCAGTTTCTTCTAAAATCCTTTAAGACTTCTATAATTGGTTCCAATGTATGCCACCTTCATCTGGGAGGTAACAGATGACTTGCTTCATACTCTCCATTCGAACTTCATGTTTGACTTCCCACTTTTGGTCTATGGAGAATTAATTTCTTTTATTGTCCTCATTTCTTTCCAACTCTCACTTCCTGATTTCATTAAGACTCTTCACACTGCATTTTTGACAACCATAGGGCCACTAAAAAGGCTTTACAAAAAGTATTAAAACTTCTGAACCCCTCAAGGCAGATGTGTCTCTTGAAACCTTGTGATTTAGTCTGCAGAAGCAGAATAAGGAAGCCCCTAGAGTGGAAGCAGGGGTTAGTCACTCTAAGAGAAAACCAAATCCAAACAGTTCTTTTAATGAGCACAGGAGGTTTAATGTATGTCTTCATTGCTTGAGATAACACAGTTTTACTTCTGAGCAGATCATGTAGCCTTTACTGGGTATGATGGAGAAGCAGCTCATTTTCTGGGCAGTATTTATGAGAAAGAAAGTGAATTAATTTTGTATATTGTATTTTATTTATGCATTAGATCTACGTGTTTATTTAATTTCATCCTGAAAAGAGAAAGCATTCGAACATCTGATAATCTGTTACAGCAATCCCAATTCACAAATATGTAAAGCAAGAAAAGTCACTTTCAGAGCAACTTGATAAACTCATTACAAGCTGGTACTTTAAGGATTCTCAAACAAAAACCCTCTCAATATACTATCTGTATTGGATAAGTATCCAGTGGTAGCATCAGCACATTTATAACTTGCACAGCGCAAAGGATTGCATCTTCAAGTCAAGCCATACAACTGTTCTGAAAATGAAGCTGTATTCCAGATCTTCAGTTGGCTCAGTGGATTACTTCCATTCTTCCAGTAGGAAAACCAGAAAAATGTTTTTGCTTTCTGGTGAAAGCCTGTGTTCAGTAGTGTCTGAATTTGATACTTATTGGAAACAAAGGAAGATCATTGATTGTAGAGTTTGCCAGTAATTAATTAGACCAACAAACCATACACATTTGGCTTCTCTCAGTTCAGAGGAAATTAGTTCTTCTTGGTTCATGCCATCAAGTTACCAGTGCTTGAGACTTCAGGGAATAATAGAGAGGACATCTCTTAGCCCAGTGGTGATCAGTTTGTATTCCGAAACTTGTTATTTATTACACCTTAAGTTAAAGCTAATGATGAAATGGATCATAATATTATCCAACTTTCAAAAATATATATGTCTGTCCAGCTGCAGTAACAACAGAGGGTGACACACCTTCAGTTGCATAGATCCACAACTGGGGCTGAGCTATGACAATTTGTACAAGTCCAGTTGCTGGATCCCTATGGTAGATTTTCCTCCTATTTTGTCTCATTGTTTCCTTGCTCCTGTGTAGACAAACTTCACATAACAGATGTTGCTTTGAGCAAAGAAACAGTCTTTTCAACAATCATTGAAAAAAACCCTGCATAAATATTTCCTAAAACAGTCTTGTGTTTCTGCAGGATGGGAGCCTCAGAGGACGCTCATCCCTGTAGTCCCTCCATACCCACTCTCCATTAATAGTCTGGTACAGTGGAAAACATTATCTCCTGTGACAATATTTATATTGTATAAATCAACCATTAAGCCCAAAGTCAGTCCTCAGTTACAGTGGAACTACTGTCTTAGATGAAATGTCAGTTGTACTTGGTTCCTTTAGGTCTTCTCAACTCCATGGTAGTTTTACTCCACTGATTCGTGTCTGAATGCAATCCCCCTACCCTCTCACTGTCAACATGATTCTGTCAGGATCAGCTGAAACAAGTTTGCAAAAGCTTTTCCAGTGGCTCTCAGCCAACATCCATTTTCAATTACACCTTCATGCCTTGTTAATGTCAATTTCTTTGCAAAGTTTGTGTCACTGTCTAGGTTGTCATACGCAAGTTCTTCATCAGGAGAGAGCTGGACTTCTGGAGTTCAATGAATACTGGGGATATAGCATGTTTTTACTCATTGTAAAAACTGAAGCTGCAAGCATACTAGAATCTGAATGAATCAGACTACATTGCTACTTTGTGTCTTTTGTCTTTCTGTTATATAGGAGAAATGGGGGACAAAGGACAGAAAGGCAGCATAGGACGGCATGGAAAAATTGGTCCTATTGGTTCAAAAGGTATGCTTAATTCAATTTTTTCTCCATTTGTGTTTCAGATGAAAATGTGTGATCATTTATGTTTGAGAAAAGTTTAGGGCCTTGAAAAATGGTTACCAAGTCTCAGAGCTTACCATGGTGGGAATTTTCTTACACTGTAGTCAGCCAGGTTCCTGACATATCTCAGCCAGCTACCTTTTCCTCTGACAGCAGGATATTTAGCCTTAGAGCAGCGTGAGTATCCTGGTTTGAGGCTAAATAAATAACTTTGTGCACTGTCCAACAAGAGTGGATAGTTAAGAGAAGCAGTTAAGAAGATACACTATACTATGAGAGACTTTTAAGAGCCAGAAGACTTGCTTTCTAATGTTGCCTACTCCATAGGCTTCCTATGTGACTTTGGTTAAGTCATTTGGACCAATGTTTACCTAAACATCTAGATCATGATTTTAAATTCAGGCATATCCAGCCCTTTTCCTTCTACAGCATCTGAATTTACTGGTTCTGTGGAGTCCATGAATGTCAAAAAGTGGATATTGGTATATATTCTTTGTGTTCAAATTTCATAGCTTTGGCAGACTTTTGTTGTGGAACAAATAGGACAGAAAAATCTTTATTTTTACTTGGGCATATTTCTACTTTTCACGTTTGAATGTTACTAGAGAAAAAAATAAGCAGGTGCTAAGTGAACTATTGACAAAAAAAGCTGCCTTAAATTTATATTCTTTTTCATGTCTTTAGGTGAAAAAGGAGATAATGGTGACATAGGACCACCAGGTCCTAATGGTGACCCAGGTAATCCATAACACACCTTGTGTATATGAAAGACTTTACAACATGCGTGCACCATCACCAAAAATATGTCTGTTTACATACTGGGGGAAATAATGAATAATTTTTTGCATAGGTACTATAATATTTCACAGTGATATTTTCCAATTACTTATAAACATTGAAGTTACAGTTGCTAGATTTGTAATGTATGTGTTACAATAGTGTCTCAGAGTTTTCAGAGATGTAACTTCTCCAGAAGTCCAGTGGGAACCGAAGTGCAAACTGTCCTTATCATTCATCACCAGTGCAAAGGGACATCTCTGCATATCCCACTCTGTCTTCCAGCCAATACAAAGCAGCAGGTTAGAACCTCCTGCCCCTGTGTGGATTATTGTTATAGGAGCAGGAGATTATCAAGAATACAGATCACAGAATCACAGAATATGTCAGGTCGGAAGGGACCATAGTGGGTCATCTGGTCCAAGACCCTGCTCAGGCAGGGTCATCCTAGAGCACATGGCACAGGATTGTGTCCAGATAGTTCTTGAATACCTCCAGTGAGGGAGACTCCACAATCTTCCTAGGCAACCTGTTCCAGTGTTTGGTCACTGCACAGTAAAGAAGGTCTTCATTATATTCAGGTGGAACTTCTTGTGCCACAGTTTCTGTCAATTGCCTCTTATCCTTGTCACCACCAAGAAGAGCCTGGCTCCATCCTCTTGGCATCCCCACTTTAGATACTTATATATATTGATGAGGTATATAGTTCTTCCAGAGGTGTATAGATCTTCCAGAGAATCAGGTGAAAGCCTGGCATACAAAGTGTAAGCCTTGCAAGAGTAGCAGGTTCAGATTTGACTGAATTCGTCCCTTCCTGGCAGAGTGCACTAGAGGTGCACCAATTAGTTTTCTCATGAGAATATAATTTGTCACTCTAATTCTTGACCCAGAGTACGATATTCCTACCATCATGCTGAGTTTTTTGTGCTTAGACTGACTTAGACACCTAAGGTGATTCATTGGGTAGTCAAATGCAGATTTTAATACTTACACACAGAAATGCAAACTGAAATTGATCCTCATGGAGATTTGTGCTCAAAGATGTAACAATTATCCTTTTAGTATTCACATTTAGATTAGCTTTGTCAAATCTTTACCAATTTGGGTTAATAGATGGTTTTCTATTGTCTTGTTATATTGTAAGAGTTACTGCAAATTCTGTACTTTCAAAAGTACAGAACTTCATTTTACATCAAATGGTTGGAATTTTTTGATCTCCTCTGTTATGTTCCTTGTGAGGAACAGCCAAAGAGTGCTTGTGCAGATTTTTGCTGTGAAAGAAGTGCTGTGTGAGAAAAATAAAGAGAATAATTTTACTGAAAATGGGAAATTTTGACAAATGTTTTTAGTTAAAGAAATTGTGGGTTTTTTGCAGAGAATATCTATCTGTGTTTAGGTTAGCACTAATCATGCAGGAGTGAAGCTTCATGGGAAGTGAGTTGAGCTGTTCTGCACAGGTCCAGACCTCCTGAGAACCGCATAATGGTGCAGGGTAGTGAAGGTTCTAATTTTCTGTCTGTTATTTGCAAGACAGCCCTCTCCAGGGCTGCCAGGCTGGCCTTTTCATAGACTTGTTGAGATAACTATTGAAATGGAGTAGCTTTTTGATTTGGGTGTCTCTGTATCATTTCACAGGCATCCCCTGTGAGTGCAGCCAGCTAAGGAAGGCTATTGGTGAAATGGATATCCAAGTAGCCCAGCTGACAACAGAACTAAAATTCATAAAAAATGGTAGGTTAATTTTTATATAACTATTTTCCTTTCTTGTTGCCTCATTTTACCGGTGTAATTGCTCGTAGAGAGTGTCACCGTTCCACAACTGATTTGTGAAGCTATTTTGGGGTGTACAGTGACTTGGTTTATAGAAATGCGAGTGCTCACTTTTCAGCACTGCCCTCCCCCGCAGCTGTTGCTGGTGTGCGTGAGACAGATAATAAGATATATCTGCTGGTGAAGGAAGAGAAGAGATACAAGGAAGCCCAACTCTACTGCCATGGAAGAGGAGGGACGCTGAGCATGCCCAAGGATGAGACTGCCAACAGTCTGATTGCCTCATACATCAACCAAGCTGGGCTCACCAGAGTTTTCATTGGGATTAACGACCTTGAGAAAGAGGGAAATTTTGTCTATTCCGATCGGTCGCCCATGCAGACCTTCAACAAATGGCGCAGCGGGGAGCCCAACAATGCTTACGATGAGGAGGACTGTGTGGAGATGGTGGCCTCTGGAGGGTGGAACGATGTTGCATGTCACATTACCATGTATTTTGTCTGTGAATTTGACAAAGAAAATGTTTAAGCTTCTCTGCTCTTTATTTTAAGAAAAGCTTTTAAGCCGATTTTACAAGTTACTCCATGTTTTATGAGTTCAAGTGGCATTTTGCAAGTATGTGGCACCAATGTTGTACAGCTGTAAATACAATTTAGGTATTTCAAATATCAGTATTTACCCTTCAGAAGGGAAGAGCAATAATAAGACATAGCTTGTTGGTTTTTTTTTTTTGGTTTTTTGTTTGTTTGTTTGTTTTTATTTGTTTCTTTGTTTGTTTTTTGTTTTGTTTTGTTTTTCTGTAGGAAAATATATATTTAGATAAAAATGTGGTTTGGGGCTAAATTTTGACCTTACAACAGTTAACAAATGTGATTACATGACTGTAAGGGAAGGCAGAATTTGGCCTCTAGTTGTTAGAATGATTAGAATTAGATTCCTGATATTCTTTTATCTTAGCAAAATTTGTTGTTATAAATGTTAATTGCTTGTAGTGCTACAGGGATATTTCAGAAACAAGACAAATATTTTGTATACTCCAGTTAATTAGTACAAATATTACTGTAGGTTTGTTGGTTGTTAAAACTTTTTTTTTATAAAAAACAGCCAAAGCAACCAAGAAATAGGGAGTCCTACCAATTTTGTAATGTTTCTTTATTAAACTGTTCACAGATGTATGACAAGAAAGCATTTAAGTAAACTGGATTTTAGTGCTGAGGGAGGAAAAAGTCTAGAGAAAGGTGTCCCTACCCACATCAGCGTGTTAAAACTAGATAAACTCTAGAGTCCCTTCCAACACAAACCATTGTATAATTCCATGATTCTGATATGAAAGTTCTTATAATTTAGCACTTTAAGAAGGTTCTCATCCAGATGGTGTTTTGGGGTTGGCTAAAGGGAAAAATAAGATTTTGATTTTCTGCATTCCTTAGTTGAGAATGATTCAGTGCATGAAGTATTTCAGACCCCAAAGAATTTTTTAAAGTAAGCATGTTTCACATTAAGATGATCTTGGTGCATCTTGTTACAACACAAGCAAAATGCTTGCCCTCCACAATTTAAGGCACACTTCATAAATAGACAACAAAGCTCATAAAAACGCTTTAGATAGCAGTTCCTTTTGGTAGGAAAACAGCTTACATGTTTACAGAGATTGTAAGGGTGATCCCCTGAAAAGAAGAAAAGTTTCCAAAATTTTCCTGATTATGTATATAGCAGTAATAAGTAACCTTACGCAAATAATTTATGTACCAAATTTACAACTGCATATGATGAAAAAGGTGATGTATATTTAAAAAAAACCCCAACAACATCATTTCACAAAGGAAATGATGAATTACTTTGGATCATTCTAGGACCCAGTTGCATGACATCTTATCTTACTGTTAGGCATAGGAAAATCTGCAAAATCTCCGACTGCATTTCTTCAGGAATACCTTGCACAGTGTTTTAAGATTATTTTTAAGGTAAACAATCCTTTGCATAACCTACTAATCAAAATATGTATCTGATCATTATGGGAGATTAGTATGCAAGATATCCACAGTAGATATGGTGTGTGGTCCCAGAGATTTCCTTACAAGGCAAAACCAACTCATATCAACTCTGCAGTGCTGTGGAATATAAACAATCAATGGTCATACAATTCTGTTCATATCCAGAGAGTCTGGCATTTGATTTATCTACCTATGAGAACAAACCATTTTCTTGCTATATTTACTGTGTGAATTTGAATCTGTTATGTGTATATGTTTGCTATTAATTTTGAAGATCACTAGCCATATTATGGTATATCCTATATTGTTTGAATATCAGCCCAGCTCCAGAGCAATCACTCAAAATGAATGGGTCCTTTGATTGATTTACTTTCTTTTAATAAAGATAGATATGATACCTATATGTTAGTCATTCTTCCAACTGCATATTGAAATATATTAAATAATGTGAATCTGGTTCTACACTAATATTCAAAGACTCTTTGCAGAATTTTCAGGTAGTTAACAATTCCAGCAGAGCAATTTGATTAGACTCATGCCTTTTGAATATCATGATTGTTTCCTGCGTGCTGTAGAAATCCTCACAAACCATTTAAATCTCCAACATAATTTTTTCAAATCATTGTAGCTATATTCAGACAGCCCAAACCTGAGATACAGATATCTGGAACTCCCTCATTATGTGTGCTGAAGTTGCTGTTTATTTGTCACCTAGGTTTTGAAAGTCTCTGTTGTATTGTTCAGTTTCATGAGAAAGATAAAAAGAGGTCTTTCAGATAGGTGGGAAGATTTCTGAGATGCCAAATGCTCCTGTTTTAGCTGGAAGTCACACAACGTTTTAAAGACTGCCTTGTTGTGTAGAGCATTAAACAGTATCAATTTCTATTAAAATTTAGAATGAAAAATAAAGGCAATGGAAACTAGTTTTCATGTTCTTCAGAATATATTTTTACAGTGCTTGATGTATTGGATAGAAACTAAATTGGTTTCATTGTCAGATCCCTGTACATTGGCTACAACAGCCCTTATTTCATCACTTGGGCATGAGGAAAAAGGCTACTGAGTAAGATCTCTGGCTGTCCTACAAGGAGCAACGACTTCACATCTGATATTTGCCCCTTTGAGGATCTGGGCAAGAAATGACAGAGGGATTGGAAACAAATGAGCCCTTAATTTCTTTCACTGTCTATTTGCTGACCCCCATAGGTGGGCATTACAATGCAGGGTTTAATGCACATGGAAAGTACCCCAAATAAAAGCACCTTATAATTAATTTCATTTTTTTTAAACAATCATTCCAAATTCCACTAATGGAAACCTTACCAAGTATGTCAGCAGGCTTCATGCAGGCTGAGCATTGCATGCAACATTGATTTCTGCCTCCAGTTGGAGGCTGACAAGTTAGTTCTATTTAGGGTATTTCCCACGTGCATTAAAACCTGTATTTTTATAGCATTACTCATTTTGTGTGGCTCTGTGGAAGCCTTTGGAACATGTCTGTCTGGGAAGAAGGCACAGGTATTTCTCAGACTGTTCTTATATGCTCTATTTTTGATTGGATGATATTTCATCATAAATGCTTCCCATAGCCCTTATTTATTTTATTCTTAAATAAAGGGCATTCTGGGGCATACGAAGAAGGCAGCAATAGCAGTTGCTTTTTATAATATAATATTAATAAATAATGGCCAGTCTTCGCGAGCGAAGATCCGGGGAAGGTCTTTACACCTTCCAGCCTGCGCATTGGATTTTTTTAGGTGAGACACAGTGTGCGCGGAACTGAGCCCACCCTTTAATCCTAAGGTTCATCTGCCGGGGCCAAGCGAGCTTGGACGGTGGCAGCGAGGTCCTTAGGACGTAGATGGGTTGCCTTTTTAAGGGCTAACGAGCTCCATCTGCCCGGGAGTGGCCCTGACTGGGAATCAAACCCGGGTCTCGGCGGTGACAGCGCCGTGCCCTTAACCACTAGACCACCAGGGGCTCCAATATAATATTATAAATATAATAAATATAACATAATATAACACAATAATAACCCGCTCATGTTCTTGAATTGCTTCACATAAAATGGGTATTTCATTCATCTATACACCGCACCTTTAGCTGCTAAGACTGTGTTGTTTTATTAGTGATGCCAGGACCAGCCAGATGTGCAACCCCCTTCTAGGAGATGGCTTGATAAAGGTGAAGCATTTAACTGTCTGAGTCCAAGGGGAGTTCCATTGTCAGTGAGAGCTCTACCTTTCTGTGGACATCTCAGGAAAGCACTGGATCATGTCTGATCCTGATCACCATTCAGGTTTACCACCCCACATCCTGACTCCTTGGTGGAAGGTGCTGCTCCCAGTTGCCTTGTTATCCTGCTTAGCTCCTGGCTCGCCATCCCATGAGAACCAGCTCCTCCTCACTGTGCTCTGACAGCTGAAATGATTATCCCTGGAGATATGGGTTTGTTACAGGTTTGTTAGCAGCAGAACTTCTCCCTGACTGTGAGTTTTACACAGTCTTATATCACAGAGAAGTGTAAAAAAATTAATATTCATACATGGGATATAGAGCATTCTTATTCATGTAAGTAAAATAGAGTGCTTCCTTTTTCATAAGCTCAGGAAATGCCAGTTTTCATATGCATTACAAAATAGCAGCTGGTTGGACTTTTTTTGTTACAGATTTTGATGAAAAATGAAATAAAATGTAATTAAAATAATTTTAATTGTAAAACACTATTAAGGTTCACAATGGACAGAGTGTCAAGGCAGATGTTTTTCAAAATGTTTACTTTTGGAATTTTTCAGAATTTGATTTCTAAGTTCTAAAATTTTATTTTTACCCATAAAGGGATTAGATTTTTGTTATTGTTAATATGTTTTACATCATGTAAGTAATAGTGTTCAGTGTAATGTTTTGGGTTTTTTTTACTGTATTCTTTATGTCTTGATTTCCAATGGGAACAAGTTATCTTTTTGAGGGTTCTATTTGCCATACTGAAAAAGTTGCATTGCAATTGCTTTCTTCTTCTGGGCCTGCTATGACACTGTAAATACTTTGAATACACAACAATATATAGTTCAACTAACATTATGCAGAAGATATTCTTACTGAATATGTTTCATTTAAGTATTATGCCATATAACTAGAAGTTTATGCACTATCACTAATGTCCAAACCGATCATTAAATAAGATAAAACCTGAAAATGTTATAAATACACTTTCATCCTGAATTAAAACACAAAGATGTCAAAGTAACCAGATTTACAGTAAAGCAGAGACTCAGGATTTCCCTTAGGTCTATATCCAGATCTAGTTTCTGTGGGAAACTCAGTGACTTGTGATGCTTGTGGTTGAATCAAATCCTAGAGTAGAGAATTAGCCAACAATGCAATGATGTGCAACTTTCGCCCTTGTGCTTTCTGAACTACTTCCCCTTAACCATCGTTTCCAAGCATTCTTCTCACTTAGCTCTGTAAATAAGTGTGTAATGAAATTGTCCTAAGGATCAGCCTATTTTCACTGGAGATTCTGGTTTTCAATTTTTGGCTTTCCCTGTGGTGTCAACAGGTCCATGTCACTCAACATTTGCCACAGGTTATGGACCAAGAGGTGGGTATTTTGTCCACAACAGGGAGCTGGAAATGCTCCATGGAACCAGCTGTGATGGGAGAGGTGTTGTGCAACACTGGAGCTGGCCACTCACCCATTTCCTAGGGTACATATTTCTGGTCAGGGAGACACAGCCCAGCCTACCGAAAGAAATAACCTTGTTATTGTGGGTAAAATGAAATTAGAGTCTTAAGATTTACTTAGGAAAAAAGTGTGCAGTGAAGGGTTTTGTCTATTTACTTTATAGAGTAGCTGTGAGAAAGAATAGTTTGGTTTTAATTTTGCCATATTAGGAGAGTACAAACTGTGAATTGGGAGAGAAAGAGTTTGTGGAAAGGACAGCAGTGTGTGCTCAAGGTGTTTTTCTGGATGTAAGGCTCCTCCTAGCCAGGAGCTTTTCAATTGGATGAAAAGGGGAGTCCTCTCAAGAGGGAGAGCATGAAATAGAAAAGGTGGGAGAAGCAACGAGTGGATGTGCAGAACTGGCAGTGAGTGGGATGCCCAAGAGGCGGAATGTAAATGTTACCTCCAGCCATTCTCCTGTTTCCTGCTAGGGAAATGCAATTATCTTGCCCTTTCCATCAAAATGTCTCACTATAGCTCTGGATGGATAGCTACAAAAATAGAAGGAGGTGACCAATTTAGTGTAATGTCTTTGTTTAAATAAAGCCCAGTTTGGGTCTATGGTCAAATAATAGCATCCACTGCACTCTGGGTATATTACTGCCTGAAATCACGGGGGATATAATTAAGCCCTGCTATTCAAAGGCTAGCTATGTAGTATTGATGAGCTTCTGGGTATTCTTTACATATAAAAGTGTGAATACTGCCAAGAATTCATCAACAAAAGGTCTGGTGTGCAGCTGAATGATACGTGCGTTACCATACTATCATCTAGTGGCAGTAAGAGGCAAAATGAAGAAGCTGAGTTTTGCTTCTGCTTGCATCAGTTGCTGTGTTATTGAGTGCAATCACTGATGCTGTATAGAACAACCGATTTTCCAGCTCCAAAGTCTTTAGTCAGGTTTCTTCTTCTCTTTGTGAAAAGATTATTTTGAATTATTACAAAGAGACGTGCACTGATTTTAAGTCCAATTCTCAGGTGGGAGTTTTGACTAAGAAGTGAGAAGTGTGTTCAAATGAGCTCAATTATCACGCCTTGGAGTGAAGAAAAAGAAAACAAGTCAAGCTGTGCTCTGCAGGCCAGCATCTAAATTGCAGGTGCAGATCTTCACCTGGCATCAATCAACTCCAGTGAAGCCGAATTGATTTATACCTGCTGAGGATTTGACAAAGTATCATCATCAGTTCTAGATCTATGCTTATTTCAGAAAAAGAGAGTGGTATTTTGATGTTTATAATTTATTCTGAGCACTGTTATTTAAAGTCTGAGCTACTAATGAGTGCATCTCCCATGAAAATTTTTGGGCTATAATCAGTTGTGAGACAAATATTGAACATAAGATAGCTGAAGTAGATGTATGATGTGAAACTTTACCCTTGCAAGTACACAAGGGGTTTGATGCAGAACACAAAAGAAGCAGTAAAAACATTCCATATAAAGAATAAGTCCTCTATCATTTTATATTCTTCTATGAAAATGAAACCTTTCTTTTTGCCATACTCAACATTGATCCATAGGAGTAGACAGGGTGCCATCTAGTGAAGAAAAGATTTGTTACATATCTAAACATCACTTTGTTCCTGCTTTATTCTTAGTATGAATGGAATGATATGGACATTCTGCAAGAGGGAAACTGAGCAATATGTTCAGTCATCTGTGTTTGTAGAGCACACTGAAATAAAAGAAGGTATAAAAATGCAAAATACTGATTTCCTTATTACAAAGGGCCCTGCATATATACATATGAGGTTGTTATATTTAATCCAATTCCCTGCTTCTTCCCCAGCATCGTTTCTCTTCTGCTCTAGATAAAAAAGTCTAATATAGTAACTTGGGACTTACCTAAGTAAAATTCACTATCACTTCTTAATATCCTCAGCTGGATTAGCAGAAAAGCCTATAGTTGACCTTGATGTAGAGAATTCCTTTTCTGTGTTGCTTTTTGGCCACATCTTACTGTTCAGAAGCTTCTGAAAGATAAATTCTGGATCCCTTAACCTTGCATTACAAAAGTATAAATGCATTACAGCTGATGTGTTGACACCATGCCTAACACTTAGTCATTATGTCTCTTTAAAAAATACTCTTTGAGGCTACTGTCCTGGTCTACGCAGTGTCATCAGTTTTCTTAAAGCTTCTCTTCCTTTTGCATCTGATCAGACCTAAAAGTGAAGTGAATTATGTACTTTTGATCT